CAAAAGAACAACAAAATATATAGATATATGTACATGTAGATATACATAAGCTATAGATATATATTCAAGGCACAAAAATACATCCAAAAATTCCCAACTACCCCAAAGTGATACAGGGGACATTGATGTAGAGGAAATCATAATCCACACAGAAGAAATATCTGAAAGTGTATAAATGAAGGTGGCAAGACAGTTCAATACCATGCTTGGTGAATTTAAAGAAGATATAACTGGGCCGGGGATTTAGCTCAGTGGTTCCGCTGCCTGCCTTGCAAGCACAAGGACCTGAGTTCAATCCCCGGTACCAAAAAAAAAATAAAGAAGATATAACTAAGCAGACAATGACCCTTGTCAAACAAATGATCAGCTAGTCTAGTGTATACAATAATAAAAATCTAGTTGCACTAAAGAAAAAGAGGCAAAACATGAAAGTCCAGTATAGAAAGAAAAGTCCATTAAAAAGTTCCAAACAGAAATGCATGAGATTAAAAATACAGCTGAAAGTATGGGCAACAAAAGTAACTGATGTGCACAGTTTGTAATAGCTAAAACTTGGAAACAGCCTAAATGCCCATCAACTGGAGACTGGATCAAGAAAATGTGGTTTTTTTATAAAATGGAGTACTACTCAGCCATCAAAAATGAGAAATTAGAGACATTTATTGCTAAATGGATGCACATTGAGGCGATACTCTTAAGTGAAATAAACAGGACACACGTGTAAATACCGAATAGTTTCTCTAGTGTGAGAAACTGAAAGTGTAAATAAGGACTAAAAGGTATAATAGATAATGTGAAATAGGAAGAAAAGGGGCAAAGGGGAAGGGGAAGTAGGAGGGGTAGGGGAAAGGAAAGAAGGGAATGGAATTAATATGAGGAAATGAAAAATGGAAACAAAGTCTTTGTAAATAGGGAGAGATGGAGGGGTTGAAGGGAGGGCAGGGGAAGGGGGAAAAAATAAGAAACAATAGAGTATGTAAAGGTACATATTTCCAATGATGAATGTCATTATATTGTACACCTAAAATGTAGCAATAAAAGGATATACCAAAAAAAAAAGTGACTGATGTGAAGACAGGTGTGTCAGATCTATGACTATGGCTAATGGTGAATTAGAAAGAGAGATGTTAAAAACAAGAGAACATGAAAAATGGACCCAGCAACTACTAAATGACTCAAAGAAGACTAATAAAAGAGTAATATGAATCAATGAAAAATCAGAAGACAGTACAAAGGGCATAAAAACTTGTTTACAGCCAGGTGTAGTGGCAAAAGCCTGAAATCCTAGCACTCGGGAGGCTGGGGTACGAGGATCAGTGTGATTTTGAGTCTAGCTCGAGCAACATAGTTCAAGGCCAGTCTGGACTATGTAATGAGACCTTGTCTCAAAAAAAACTTGTTTACAGAAGTAACATCAGAAAACTTTCCAGACACAGAAAAAGAAATTAGCATATGTATCAGTGGGGTATGTAGAACCCCAAATAACCATGATCAGAAAAAACACTTCACACAACATAGTTAAAACACCTGAAGCACAAAGGCTGTTAGACAAAAGCAATGAATCATGTGTGAAGGAAATCCCATCAGAATTACAGCTTTCACAATGCCAACCTTAAAGGCTTGGAATGAAGTGTTTCAAGCTCTAAAAACCACCTCCAACTGGATATATTCTGCAAAACTATTTTTCACAATTGATGGAAAAGTAAGATATTTTCATGATAAAGAGCACCTAAAGAAATTCATGAACACCAAAGCAATACTCAAAAAAATTCTCAAACGTATCCCAGAAGAAGACAATAAAGTAAACAATGTCAAGAGGGCCAATAAAATAAATGTATCAGATAGGGCTAGCAATTAAGTAGAAGGGAAAGAAAGTAAAACACCAATAGGAAAATAATACATGACAGAAATCAGTCAATACTCATCAATAACAACTACCAGTATGAATGGTCTAAGTTCACCAGTCAAAGACGAATTCACCAGAATGGATCAGAAATAAAATTCAATGGTATGCTGATTACAAGAAACACATTTAACATTAAAGGAAATTCATAGGGTAAAAATTAAAGGACAAAAAACAATAAAATTCTGTTTTCAGGCAAAGTGGTTTTCAAGCCAAAGCTGATCAAGAGGCAAAGGACACTACATAATTGATTAAAAGAACTGTTTGACAGGAAGAGATAGCAAGTGTAAACATATATGCACCAAATTATGGTGCACCCAACTTCATTAAACAAACACCAGTGGACATAAAAATGAGATAAGCATCAATATGAAAATTAAGCAATACACTCTTGAATAATCAGTAGGGCACAGAAGAAATTAAGGAAGAAAGAAGACATTTCCTAGAATTACATAATAATGGCAGTGGAACTTATGGGACACAGTCAAAGCCATCCTAACAGGGAAGTTTACAGCTGTGAATGCCCATATCAGAAAACCATAAGAAGCCCAAGTAATAACCTAATGATGCATCTCAAGGTCCTGAAAAAAAAAAAGAACAATCCAGATCTAGAGCTTGTAGAAGGAAGGAAATTATAAAGATCAGAGCAGAAATCAATGAAATGAAGATGAAAATATGCAAAGAATCAATGAATTGAAGAGCTGGTTCTTTGAAAGAATAAACAAAATAGACAAATCCTTAGCCAGTCTTGCCCATAAAAAAGGAAAAAAATGACACAAATCGATCCAATTAGAAATGATAAAGGTGAAATCAAAATAGTCATTGGTGAAATACAGAAAATTATTAGCCACTACTTCATAAATCTGTATGTCAAAATATTGGCAACTCGAAAGAAATGAAAAAATTCCAACGAAGTGTGCTGGCACAGACTTGTAATCCCAGCACTTGGGAGGCTGAGGCAGGAGGATTGCTGTGAGTTCAAGGCCAGCCTGCACTACAAAGCAAGACCCTGTCTCAAAAAACATAACAAAAATAAATGAAAAGATTCCTAGATACATACGAATTACCAAAGGTGAACCTAGAAGGTTTAAATGTCAGTTTTTCAATAGACAGAGGCAAGACTCCAAATTTGGGGACTTTCTGGGCAATTTTGGCAGCTTGTTTGGAGGTTCAAGCAGAGAAGCAAAGCTACTCACATACCCTTGACCAAGGAAATGGTCCTCTATCAGGGATAGTTGTCCTCTTAACCCAGTCCACAGCTTTGGGAAGGACACACATGGAGCAGTGAGAGAAGACAGGGACACCTGCCTAGCCAGCCTGATCAGATACATTAATGGTAGCAATCAATCGGGTGACATATGTCACAGCCAGATCATACATCCCTTTCTGGGCAATTCTGGGACGACTTGTGTCAAAATTAAAACATAAGGGCCGGGGATTTAGCTCAGTGGTTCCGGCGCATGCCTTGCAAGCACAAGGTCCCAAGTTCGATCCCCAGTACCAAAAAATAATAATAATAATAAATTAAAAAATAAAACCAGGCTGGTGATGTAACTCAGTGGTACAGCACTTGTCCAGCATGAGTAAAGACCTGTGTTGAATTCCCAAGGAAAGATAGTCTGAACACTTACTATAACATTTGAAGTTTGATGATAAGTGAAATGACAGTCACAAAAGATCAAATATCATACTGTTCCACTTACGTGAAGCACCCTAGTCAGATTCACAGTGAGAAAGTAAAAATGTGGTTATGAGAGGTTAAGCAGGAGCCAGAAAAGGGAGTCTTTCCCTTTTCTTGAAATGCTGGGGAGTGAACCCAGGACTTCAAGCATTCTAGGCGAATGCACTACCACCGTGCCACATCTCCCCATCAGGAATGGACGGCTTCTTAATAAATGTGGAGTCCCAGTCTTGCCAAGTGAAAACAGCTCTGAAATTGGTGTCACATTAGTAATCTAGGGATGATACAGGGACCTCTATATGATTAAGGGAAATATAACTCCCAACCTGCTAGGTGTCTGATAATGTCAAGTTCGAAAATCAAAGAATAAATTCCGGGAACAATGGAGGTTAAGAGTAGGAAATATTTATTGAGGGAAAGATAGCTTTTATCTAAGAGAGATAAAAGGAGACCCAGAAAGTGGGTTGCTGTGGACTCCACACACAGGAGAGCCTTTATAGAGCAATATCACAAGGTAGGTATGAAATCATGAGATGAGTACAAGGTGGGACAAAACTATGGTCAACTAGTAAGATTATAAATATAGTCTCTTAGGTAATACTAATCCAGTGGGAAGGAAGTCCCATAAAGAACAAAGATTTTTTCTGTAAGGGGTCAGGGACCTTTCCAGGAAGGGATGGGTTAAGGTCTTGGTCCCCCACCCAGGTGATTGGTGCCTGTTTAGAGTATCAATCATTTATCACAGTAGGGGAAGTAGGTGTAGTTATTTTCATCTTTGTTTTGAGGACTGGCCTTGAATGAATGTGTCTCCACCCACTACATGTGTTTTTACTCTCTTCAATGGCTTCTTCCAGGGCATAGCACCATCTGACTGCCTTTCAAATTTCTAACCAAATTAGCTGTCTATAATACTAGGAATGTGCAGTAGTTAATTCTGCAGAAAAGGACAGCTGAAGATGTCCTCAGGGCCTAAGGGTGGAGCTCAGTAGGAGGCCCCCTGGTTAGTTTGTGTGAGGTTCTGGGCTTCATCTTCAGACAGGAACACACATAAGCAAACATGCTGTCACATGCATTTACTGTTGTGGGGTGAGTTGGAAGGGTGAGAACTCCCATGAACTGCTATTGTCCTGGCAGGAACAAGCCTGAGAGAAGGTATTTCTTGTTGTTGGTGGTGTTCTGTTTCTTGAGACAAGAATCTCATTATGTAGTACAGGCTGGTGTGGAACGAACAGCAATCCTCCTGCCTCAGCCTCCAGAGTCCTGGTATCACAGGAGAGCGCCACCAAGCCCCAGTAGAAGCCATTTCTAGTGGATCACCTGCCTCCCAACCCTGATGTCCCTCAGGGGCCAAGGGGCGGGACCATTAACTCCTCCAATGGGCTTGGCCCCGAAAGACCCTGGAGGAAGCTCTAGGCATGCGCTGTGGGCGTGGCTGTTCCAGCTGACATTGCCCGGAAGTTGGGCTTCTTCAAGGTCACTGTGCTTTGCCCTTGGGGCCGCAGTCCTCTGGAGTCCTGAAGGTTCCTTGAGAAGACTGTGAGACCCCAGCAGCAGGAAAATGACAGTGTGTGCGGGCCTGGGAGTCCAGAGACTGGGGAGCCGGGCTGTGGGCAAGGCGGAGCCGCGGTGACGGACCCTGCCCCCGCCTGCGCTCTGGAGTCGGAGTTCCGTGTCCCGCTCAGACCCGGTCCCCTCTGGCTGAGGGCGGGGCTGGGTCGGCACCGGACCGGCCCAGTCGGTCCCTGAGCGGTGACGCGGGCCCGTTCGGAGCCCTCTCTGGGCACCTGTGCCACAGCGCGTGTGTCCCCAGCCTGTGCGGCCGGGGGAGGTGGCGGCAACCCTGCGCGCGTGGGTTCTACGTATGAGGACCTCAGGTGCGGACCTGCAGGTATCAGGGGCGCGAGCTCCCGGCGGAGGAGCGGGCGGTGCGGGCTCTGAGGCCCCGGAACTAGCGCGCTCCCAGCGCTGCCCGGAGCTCTGTGCTCCCCAGGGCGGGTCCCTCTGAGGCCAAATGGGCCTCTAGGGGCTTCGCTTCCGCGTGGAGGCCGCATCTGACCTCGGTGGACCCCTGGAGTTTTCCTTCTAATTCCCTTAGGAAATATGCCCAACCTTTAGGCTAGTTTCCTTGGTACTTGGCAGTTTTGTTCAGCGTTTTAAAAAAACTTTTGGTACTTAGGATTGAACTCAGGACCCTGACCTTGGAAGACAGGCGCGACACCACCGGCGCCCGGGACTTGGCCGTTTTATTCTCTTGTGTAAAGTCCTACGATTTCCAGTTGCTTGGGGGAAAGATAAGAGTGGATTGGGAGATGTAATGCCAGACCACCACCACCACCCCCAATACTGTGAAAGAAACAAATTTTGTTCTTCTTAGGAAAGATCACCTGAAGATGTAAGATTAAGAGTATTTTAGTATTATTTTTTCGCATACATTTTTCAATTTTTTTAACAGTGCTCTCTCACCTTGGATCCTCGGCCCTTGGTTGTGCAAGGCAAGCGCTGTACCACTGAACGACATCCCCAGCTTGTGAATTCCTACTTTAAGTAAGATGAAATCTCTAAAAGGAAAGGTACACCTCTCAAAATTCTGGTATATTAAGGGACTGGTTTCAAAACTTAATGTATAGTCTGTTCTGAATAATATCACCCATTGTTAGAAAGGAAGTAAAAATAATGATGCCATTTGTAATTTTAGTTAGTAACGTTAAAATGTTCTTATTTTATATTTTGCTCTTTCTACCTCTTAGTGGGTTGGGTTGGTCTGATTTAGGTCTTGTTTTTGTTTTTGAGACAGGGTATCTTTGCATAGTTCAGGCTGGACTTGAATTCACTGTGTGGTCTAGGCTGGCCTCGAACTCGCAGTGATCCTCTTGTCTCAGCCTCCCAAATTCTGAGATTACAGGTCCGCACCACCATGCCCAGCCCTCTTAATGTTTTAAAGAGTATTTTAGAACAATGTGCAGAGAAGTTGAATTTTTTGTTTATTTGTTTTGTTTTTGGTATCGGGGCTCAAACTCGGGACCTTGCCCTTTCGAGGCAAGCGGCAGAACCACTAAGCTAAATCCTTGACCTGAGAAGTTGAATTTTTAAAAAGTAAATCAAATGTTATCAAAAGCAAAATGTAGCTTAAAAATTTTCTAGTCGTGTTAGCAAATATGCAGGCAAACTTTTTATTTTTTTGCCACCATCAGATTTATTTGTCTTTTTCAAATTAAATATCATAAACACAGATTAAGAGCCAGACTTACAGACCAAAAAGCATATAAAATAGTTATATTCAGTCAAGGTACACTTTTAGATAATTGGCCATACTGGGTTACAATAATTTTTTTCTCTCATTTTTTCCCCCTATTGTCTATCTTTTATTTTACACTTTATTTATATTTTGGGTTTCTCATATAAGAGAAATCATGTGATATTTAAGGCTGCTTAAATATATGTAGGCTGCTTCCAGGATGTAGCTATTAAGAGTTGTCACTTGTATTACTGTAATGTGTTCTCTTTAACTCTTCAGGAAGATGCTTAGAAGGGGAATACCTGGGTCAAATGGAATGTCTATTTTTAGTTGTTTGAGGAATATCCATACTGGTTGGACCAGTATATATTCTGACAATGGAGGCTTCCTTTTTCCCTGCAGCCTCTACAGCATTTGTTATTACTTGAATTCTTGAAGATAGCCATTCTTTTTGAGTGAGATGAAATCTCAGTGTTGTTTTAATTTGCCTTTCTCTAAGGACCAGCAGTGTTGAACAGTTTCATGTTTTTAAACTTATTTTTATTTTATTACTACATGTTTGCAATTCATGCAATTTATAATTATCATGAGGAGTGGTTACATGTACATACCACAACTTGTTTCTCTTTTTTTAATCCCTCAACTTTCCTCCACAACCCTCCCTCTTATAATTCCTGTATCACATTTTTCATTCTTATTGATATTATTAATCTTAGCTCATGGTATGGCATAAAATGGTTACATTAATTGAGGTTATGAGGTTCCTGTACATGGCATATCTTTATTCTACTCATTTCCCCTCCTCTCCTCCATACCCCTCACACTTTTTACCTTGGACCACTTCCCTATTGCAAGAGATCCATCTCCTAGTCCCCCTCCATCCATTCTTTATTATTCTCTTTGTTTATACTTTGCCTCACTCAAATGAGAGATACCATATGGAACTTAAGCTTGTGTGTCTGGTTAATTTCACTCAACATTGTATTTTCCAGGTGCATTCATTTTTCTACAAATGTCTAAATCTATCATTCTTTATAGCAGAATAGTATCCCATGATACACAGATACCACATTTTCTTTTCTTTTTCTTTTTTTTTTTTTTGGTACCAGGTATCAAACTTGGGTCCTTGAGCTTGCGCAGCAGGCGGCGAAACCACTGCGCTAAATCCCTGGCCCGATACCACATTTTCTTTATCCCATCATCAGTTGATGGGAATATAGGTTGTTGCCAGGATTTAGCTATTATGAATTGTGCTACTATAAACATTGGTATGCATGTATCACTGTAATATGATGTCTTAAGCATTTTAGGGAAGATTCCTAGCAGGGGGCTACCTAGATCATATAGAATTTTTTATTTCATTTCTTTGAGAAAACTCCATACTGATTTCCATTATGGTTGTATTAGTTTACATTCTTACCAACTATAAAGAAGGGTTCCTTTTTCATCAGTTTCACTAGTGTTTGTTATTATTTGATTTCTTAGTGATTGCCATTCTTTCCAAGGTAAGATGGAATCTTAGTGTTGTTTTAATTTGCATTTCTCTAATGGCCAAAGATGTTGAGCATTTTTTCATACATTTGTTGACTGTATTTCTTCCTCTTTGAAGTGTCTGTTCATTTCTCTTGCCCATTTCTTGACTGGATCTTTAATTTTAGGTAGTTTAATTTTCTCAAGTTCTTTGTATACTCTAGATAGTAGTCCTCTGATTGAGGAGTAGTCAGCAAAACATTTTTCCCATTCTGTAGGCTATCTCTTCACTTTACTGATTGATTCTTTTGCTGTGCAGAAGCTTTTTAGTGTGATAAAATCCCATTTGTTAATTGTTGCTATTATTTCTTGGGCATTGAGGTTCTGTTTAGAAAATCCTTTGCTAAACCTATGTCTTCAAGTGTTTTACCTATTTTATTTTCCAGTAGGTTTAATATTTCTGCTTTAATGTTTAGGTCTCTGGTCCATTTTTAGTTTAATTTAGTATATTGTGCTATATAAGAGTCCAGTTTCAATCTTTTGCACACAGATAACTAATTTTGCCAGCACCACTTGTTGAATAGGCTATCTTTCCTCCAACATATGGTTTTGGCCCCTTTGTCAAAAATCAAATAGCTGAATGTGTCTGGGGAAGTTTCTGTCTCCTCGTTTCTGTCCCATTGATCCTATGTTTTTGTACCATACCGTTTTTACTATTCCTTTGTAATGTAGCTTGAAGTCAGGTATTGCTATCCTTCCTGCTTTACTCTTACTGCCCAAAATTGTTTTTGCTATTCTGGGTCTCTTCTGGTTTCATATGAATTTTAGGCTTGTTTTTCAAGATCTGTGAAGTATGTTGTTGGTATTTTGATTGGGGGGGCAGGGATTTAGCTCAGTGGTGCCCCCACCTGTGTTTCAAGTGCAAGGTCCTGAGTTGGATCCCTGGTACCAAATAAAAAACATATTTTGATTGGGACTGCATTGAATCTATGTAAGAGTTTTAGAAGTATGGCCACTTTGACAATATTGGTTCTGCCTATTCAGGAGCAGGGGATATCTTTCCATTTTCCTATGTCTGCTTTGTTTTTTTTTTTTCAGAGTACTATAGTTTTTATTATAGAGGTCTTTCGCTTCTTAGGTTAATTCTTAGGTATTTCATTTTTTGTGAAGCCACTGTGAATGATATTATTTTTGAGAATTTCCATTTCATCCCATTCTTTGTTGATGTACACAAATCCTAGTGATTTCTGTGATCTTGTATCCTGCTACATTGCTGAAGTTCATTATTAATTCTCAGAGTTTTTTGGTGGAGTTCTTTGAGTCTTCTATGTAGAGTATCATGTCATCTGCAAATAATAAATTCTTTTCCTATGTGTATCTCTTTTATTTTTTTCCTTGGGCTGATTGCTCTGGCTAATGTTTCAAGTACTGTGTTGAATAGAAGAGGTGATAGTGGACATCCTTGTCTTCTTCCTAATTATAGAGGGAATATTTTAGTTTTTCCCCACTTACTATGCTTCTGGATACTGGTTTGTCATATATGACATATATTCAGGTGTGGTTCTTCTACACCTGTTTTCTTCAGGATTTTTTTTTTTTATCATGAAAGTGGTATTGGATTTCATGCAAAACCATTTCTGCATCTATTGATATGATATGGTTTTGAGGCTTGCTAAAAGTAGTTACTGTCTTCTGGATTTCCAGTGTTTATTTTGATTTCACTTTTTCATTTCTAATTGCATTGATGTTGATATTTTCTTCCTTTCTCTTGGTAAGCCAGGATAGAGACTTATCTGTTTTTTGTATTTTTTTTAAGAACTAGCTCTTCACTACAATGATTTGGTTCTTTTATTGGTTTTTTTAGTCTCAATTTCATGGATTTCCACTCTCATCTTTATAATTTCCCCCCTTAATTTTGGATTGGGGCTGGTTTGTTGTGTCTTGAATACCATAAGATTGTTCATAAAGTTGTCTATTTGATCTTGCTCTATTTTCCTAAAGAGAGCATTGATTGTGATGAATTTTCCTCTTAGAATTATTTTCATAATGTCCCAGAAGTTTCAACAAGTTGTACCATTATTGTCATTAACTTGAAGAATTTTTTAATTTCCTCTTTGATTTCTTCTGTGACCCCCTTCATTGTTCAGGAGCATATTGTTAATTGTCCAGGAGCTTTTGCCTTTTCTGAAGTTTCTTCTGTCAATGATTTCAATTTTTCTTCATAGTGGTCTGATAGTATACATAGAGTAATTTCTATTCTTTTATATTCACTTAAGCAGGTTTTGTGGACTAGTATTGTGACCTACTTTGAAAAAAGTACCATATGCTCCTGAAATGTATACTCTGTTATCTGTTATCGAAGGGTGGCATACTCTGTATATATTCATTAAGTCCACATGTTCAAGGGTGTTGTTCAGGTCTGAAATTTCTTTATTACTTTTTTGTTTAGTTGATCTATCTCTTTGCAAACGTGGAGTATTAAAATCTCCTACTATGATTGTATTACTGTTTTTTTGATCCTTTAATTTCAGCAGTTTTTGTTTTATGAAGCTAGGTGCTCCAGTATTCATATGTATTTATATGTTTATAAATGTTATCTCTTGTTGGTTTGTCCACTTAACTAGTGTGTACTGATTTTCTTTGTCTCTTCCAATCATTTTTAACTTAAGGTTAACCCTGTCTGATGTTAGAATTGTTATGTTAAGCAAGCCAGGAAATCACCAAACACCAGGACAAAGACAGAGTTAAAACTAAAAGGAGTTTATTTACTGAGGTGGACTCCACCCTCTAAGAGAAGTGAAGCCCCAAGGCAGGGGACAGCACAGCTTTTATAAGTAACTCAAACAAAGAAGTTCAGGGAGAGGC